ATGGGACTCAATAACCATCCTTAATGGTGTCCTAAGAAGGGTCTGGGAATCTGTTGACGGCACATCGAGGCGTTTTCAGCTTATATTACCGAAAATCAGAGTGTCTGAGGTGCTGCAGGAAATTTACAACGGTACCAGTGGATCTCATCTGGGCGTTAATAAGACCCTCGATAAGGTTCGCCAAAGATTCTACTGGTTCAGATACAGAGAGGATGTAGAGGAATGGTGCCGGGGATGCGACGTCTGTACAGCCGCAAAGGGCCCTTCACGCAAAACAAGGGGACGAATGCAACAATACATAGTTGGAGTTCCGTTTGAAAGGATTGCAATCGATGTGGCAGGGCCATTTCCTGAAACTAGACGAGGAAATAAGTACATATTGATAGCTATTGATTACTTCACTAAATGGCCGGAGGCGTATGCGATACCGAACCAAGAAGCAACAACGGTAGCAGAAACGCTTGTAGAGAACTGGATTAGTCGTTTTGGTGTCCCAATGGATCTACACTCCGATCAGGGCAGGAACTTTGAATCTAGAGTATTTCAGGAAATGTGCCGGGTGCTTGGCATCAATAAAACTCGCACTACACCACTACACCCGCAGTCAGACGGAATGGTAGAGCGGTTTAATCGTACCCTAGAACAATACTTGTCGAAGCTCACCGATGATCGACAAGACAACTGGGATGCATACATTCCAGTGTTCCTGATGTCCTACAGGAGTTCCATCCATTGCTCTACTTCCTATACCCCTGCAAAGATGTTGTTCGGCCGGGAACTTCGGTTGCCAAGTGATCTGCTTTTTGGACTTCCGAGAGACACACCATTCACTGCTACTATGTCAACGATCTTAGACGGCGTCTGGAGGAAACACATTCTCTGGCTAGTGGGACAATGAAGAATACCTGCGATCTAATGAAGACTCGATACGATAGACGTGCAAATGCCTCGGGGTTTCAGGAAGACGATCTGGTATGGCTGTATAACCCCCAGAGAAGAAAAGGTAGATCCCCAAAACTCCAAAGAGACTGGGAAGGTCCATATCGTGTCGTTAAAAGGATCAACGATGTGGTCTACCGAATTCAGAAGACTCCAAGGTCTAGCTTCAAGGTTGTTCACGTGGATCGGCTTCATCTTTATCATGGCGGGGCAAACTTTGTTCGACGAACAGTTTTAACGAGGGGGCAGTGTTATGACTCTACATTGCACGTTGTCATTGGGTGTGAGACTGCGCACCAGGAGACACGGGACAGAGACAGGAAATAAGTGTAAAAGCCAAAAGATGGCTGATGTAAACAAGTGTTGTTATTATTCGAATGTGTAATTGTTACATGACTATTAGTCTATTATTAAATTGCTGTTTTTATCTATCACTTTGGTTGAGGTTCTTTCGGCTCGCTGTAGGCAGAGTTACAGCAATATATATATATATATATATATATATATATATATATATATATATATAATATATACAGTATATAAAGTTTGATAACACTTTGAAAACTGGATGATTGCTTGTGTAGGATTACGTAATGTATTTTATTTATACATGTATGTGGTCTGAACACTATAAACAGTGCAATAGCAGCATTAATGAGTATGAAATGAATAAATTATTAAATGTTTTAGAAACTTTTTGGTATTACTTACAGATTACAGACACTTCGAAAATTCCCACGCATTTCAAGTGTCAGTCTAGCCATACATGTTGATCTGTGACTTAAACTCTGCTAAGTCGTTAGTTTTCCTGTCTGACTCAAACAACCCATTCCATTAAAAGATTAGAGAATGTAGAAGGTTTAGTGAGGCACTCACTTAATGCGAACAGCTCTTGCTTCAACCTAGTACATTCTCAGAAACGTGAATTGTATTTGAATATACCATGACCCATTATTTCAAATATGAATATCCTTTCATTAAATATCTGATGTGGCAGCACTTTATAAAATCAGATCATTATTTTCCGTCATTAATAACTTCATACTAAGCATAAGTTTGTCATTAATTACACTAGCAAAAAAATAAAAGATCCGGATTTGGTTTTTTAAAAACATGCAGTAAACATTTGATGTTGTTGTAAGCCTTACTTGTAGTATTTTTAGATCTATAATATTATTAAAAATAAAAAGAAAGCTATCTTTTTGTTTAGGCAAATTTATTTTTTGCTGCGTTACGTCAATGGTTTCTAACTTCTCTCTCATCCCCCTTTTTCGGCAATATTGTCAATGGAACCATCAAAAGACGGGGGACGGAAGGAGCAAAAAGAAACGGGAGTGCCATCAAACGTCCATGCCCACCAGTAAAACGATTAGACCAAACACAACATCGAAGCTATCAAAGCAGTTTTGAAGTCAATGCCGCTCTTACTCAGCAAAGAATACGGTCCAACGTTTTGCAAATGATAATAAGTAGGCCTCCAGCTTGTATTGTGTGAAGATTGTTATATTCTTGTAGAATTTCAAACAAAATTTATTGTCAAAAATAATAAAAAAACAAACAAACAAGAAAACGTGTTCGGACATCTGTGCATTGATGCAGTCATTGAATTTTTTTTTTCTTTGGTCGCTACCAGAAGCACCCATTTGGTGCCGGCCCACCGGTATTTGCCCGTTTGCCAGTCCGCCACTGGCCACGCATATCTAGTTATGACCTACTTATTTCGCCAATTCCAACGTTCCCGAATGAAGAAATTCTCTTTCCAGCAGTTGCTTTCCTTTTAGTATCAGATAATGTGTATATTGTTTGTGTACTTGCTCCTACTCTGTTTGCTTCTTTGGCACAATGCTGAGTCAATTAATGCAGTGAATGCACGAAGGCATCTACATCAGGTTCCGCTCAGACGGCAATGTGTTCCACCTTCGGCGGCGACTAAGATCGTTTCAGAACTCTAAACCTATGGTTGTGGCTTACTGGCTCAGAATCATCATGAGTCCCAGCTAACCGATAACGTATTAGCGTTAGCTAATAAACCTAGGAATAACAGAAGTCGTGTTTCAGAAGTCATCCAATAAAATCTACTCAGCCCTAAAGATCACAGTGAATGAAAATCCCTTCAAAGTGGTGGACCACTGTACATAACTGAGAAACGCGTTATCCAAAAAAGGCTGATAACTGTCTTGCTAAGGCAAGTAGCGCTTTTGGACGCCTCCAAGCTACAGAATGGCGGAATAAATTGCTCGACCTGCCTACAGAAATGAAGTGTCTATCAGTGGTTCTCACCACACTTTTGTGTGGTTCCGAGACCTGGTTGCTCTACAGAAGGCATCTGATGCTCCTCGAAAGCTTCAGGCTCCATAATGGGCATACGCTGGTAGGACTACCTTACAAATAACCATGGCTGGAGGATGGTTTGGACAAAGTAGAAGCACTAATTACCATTTGACAGTTGCGCTGGGTCGGACACTCAACACGCATAGGGACCACCACATGCCAAAATCGTTTTTTTTTGTGCCCTGAAACGAGGACGGCGTAATAGAGGTGCCCCTGGTAATCGCTATAAAGATCAACTCAGGATACATTTAGCAGTCACTGGCAGCACATAGTCTCAGAAATAAACAGTTGGAGAGCTATCACGAAGGCCGCGGGACACAACAGATATTGAAGAAGGCAGGCGCAGAAGACGAAAAGAAATCCTAAATAAACCCCATCGGACAACGACTGTGATGGGGGAAAAAAACGTAAGGTGCAACTGAATCTGCGTAGTCATTAATCTTCGAAATTGAAGACATTGCCATTAAAACTCCAGCTCGGAAGAGGGCGTAGTTTGGCAGAGAGGAGGGGAGATAACTTCTCTACCTCCCCATTCTTAATGCGATCACTAAAAAATAATCTAAATCCAAGCAGTTTTTAGGGAAGAGGGTCATAATCATAGTCCTCAATCTGAAAGTGGGAGTTGAGAGGCTCATATCCTCACGCTTTCACACAGGTCAAGTGCAAGTGGCTTCGGGAAAGGCATTAAAGAATATTCTCATCCTTCCTTTACCTACGTTAAAGTTAGCCATGTACTTTTCATTGTAGGAACCGAGCAAAGGCACGAGGGCTACTCACGTTGTTATTATATATATATTATTCGGTCACGACATGAGCTGCCAGAAAGATCGCTGGATCATGCCAGGGAGTCTGCAATGGTATTGCTGTACGAGTTAGTAACATTTTAACCAATTTATTGTGTGGTGGTATTTTTTATTTACAGCTTTTTAAGTTATAATTTACCCTGCGTTATTAAACCATAGCTATCTAGCTGGTTTCATGGCAGAGCACTATGAAGTCGCTAATAGAAGTAATAGACTGCCCCAAATGTTGTGCGTGCTCACTGTTCACGCCTCCGCCAAGAGAAAGTCTTAGTGGTCAAAAGGTTCTACTGGACGGTTTCTGCCCTCACCCTCTAAGAAATTCATTCAAGGTGTTTTAAACAAAGATGTGGATCAGGGTCTAGCATTAAATATTAAAATCTACGATGCAACTGTATAGCAATATTACACACAATGAAAATCTCATTGAATGTAGATTTATGTCTTGGACGCAAATGTATTTTTTTTTTACTCTTACTACCAAATTAAAGACAAGGTTTTTCTTTCTTTATATAATCTGACTATCTGGTACAAATCTTGTACACACTATTTCTCACACTTCCTATTTTTGGAACAAGTTGAAACTTTGTACAATAATTCTTTGTCAAAGACAATACATGAATTATTTTAAAAAAATTAACCAGTTTTTTTAATATAGAAATGGAGATAAATCTTGAAGTATTGAGTTATAGCAGTAATATAAGCTTTGTTTTTTTTTAAGTGTTCATAGACTTTCCTCGACACTTGTACCTTATCTAGATAAAAGATTCAATTAAATGATGATTGTGAGTGTTGAACAAAATGAACGTGACCAACAACTCATCAATTGAAAGCGTGGGCATGGGGAGAAGCAGATAAAAAGACGACTTTGTGAGTGCACCTATGAGGTGGGTGAAATATTTTAACAAGAAATCAACAAAATTTCCAAAATTTAGCTTAAAAAAATCTTTATATTATTTCAATGAAACATTGTAACATACTATAGAATCACATTTTTCTATAGATAAAATAAAAAATACCATATAGACATGAAATATTAAGTTTGTTTCCTTAATACTGTGTACAAGTTCACATTTCACAGAGAAAAGCCATGAAGCAAAGAGAACTCTGCCTTGGCTTATAGATCACGGCGTTTTGTCCTTGTTCTGTTACTGTCACTGGCAAGCGTTTTTGCGCATGTCAAGTTTCTATTTTACTATTAAGAAAAAAACAGCTAAAGGGCACTGTGACAACTGCACATGGTTAAACGTAGGCAGTTAGCATAGGATACAGGACAGAGTGTGATCACAACATTGGGGCAACAAATTTGTGATAAGTCTATTTGAACATTTAACTCAATACCATATTATGACAGCTCAAGTGCCGAGGATTCCTAATTTTTATTTTGCTGAGCAACAGCAGACCCCTGCCCACCCATGTCCTAACATTTCATGAAACATTTCAATTGATACATACTACAAAAATACAGTATTTCCCTATGTCTTAGATATGTCTCAGAACCTCCCCCACCTCTCGTTTTCATTCCTGGCTGATTATGCATTAACATATTTAGCCCTGTATGTTAGAAGCATACAGTATGAGAGACATCTAGGCTTGACCTAAGTAGTTTGACTAGTAAAAGTCTGAGACTAATCACAAATGTGCCATACTAAAAATTTTGGTACTATAGCATAGGATATGGATCTAGATTCTAGAACATTAAAAAATCTTTACAAGAACTGACTCAACATGATCTTACCAACAATCACAAAAGTTGTATTTTGACATTAAAAGCTATGATTCACATGACTGAGAAAATTGCAATGCAGTGAAAAACAATGCCCCCCAGGAAGCACTGCTTTACAGACTAGAGAAAATGGCTTCTGATTCTATAGTTCACATACTAAACTGTAGACCTACAGTTTACTTACTGATACATTGAAAGCTTTAAGAAAAAAAAAGAAGCTGAAACGATTTACCAAGGTCTAGAATATACTTAGTCTTTTAAGACCTACAGTGTACTGATACATTGAAAGCTTTAAAAAAAATAGCTGAACAAATTTATTACCAAGGTCTAAAATATATTTTTCAATTAAAGTCCTAAATAAATGTCATCAGCCTTAATGCTTACAAATATTTCATTATTTGTTTTCAATATTCACTTAAAAACAAACAGCCCAAATTCATACAATTACTTCCTGAATAATGCATTCTTAAAATGGTCTTTAGCAAAGTAGAGCTAAGGTGACAACAGAAGTGTGTTGACTTCTTTATTAGACTGTATTGTAAAAAGTGTACATGTCATATAGAGCGGCAATTAAAATGTAAACATTGTCATAGAGAAGTATACAACAACAAATGTTTCTATTACTGGAGTGAAAGGAATGTTGGTCATGAATGAACAGAGACTTTGGGAGTGGCACAATTCTTTGGCATTGGAGACATGCAGAAAAAAATCACATACAAGAACATAAATTACATCAGCTTTTTGTTAACTGTTTAAAACAAAATAAATAACCTTTCAATTATTCAGACACAGATGTATCAGCAATACAAATGGAAAACATTTTTTTTAAAGTATGACAAGGCACGGATAAAACAAAATGGGAGTGTGGCTGGCAAATTACTTTCAAATAAAAAATAAACCTTGTACAATTGAATTGACTTCATAAACTTGTGTAGAGAATCAAGGATTGAAATATTTTGGTAATGCTGGTCTATGGATCACTGATCACAATGTTCTTATTGAAAATACAAAAGCTTCACAAGACAGATTAATAAGCAGTGAAGTGGCAGGGAAAAAAAAAAGGGGGGGGGGGGGGGGGTAAACCTTATTTGCATTGTTACTATTCTGCAATGATGTTACATATTGACAAGAGCTATTAAATATAGAAATTGTTCAGCCAATCCTACACTGCTAGCAACTATTGTCCTACAGTCAAATACAACCAGTAATTAATGTACAATTTAAAACAGACTATACACACAAAAAAACATGTCATAAGTCACATGATAAACAAGTCACATGATCAGAATAAATTATTACACAGTTAAAAGTCAGAAATATGTTAAGGTCAATTCTTTCTACAAAAATTAGCACAGATATTAGTCTGGTAACTAGAGTTAAGAAAATGGGTAAAACCTACTAGGTTAGGAAGAATACATATTAAAGTAGTTTTTCCGGTATTTGAAATAAAAATCATTTGGCCTGAATGCTCATATAGTGTTACAAAAATAATGATATAAAAAAAAAAAAAAATTCCAAAAGAAGTTGCAAATCATAATAGTTAAAATGTGCATCAATGTTTTTTTTTTAAGAAAAACAAAATTATTAGCCTTCAATAGTAAATATTTTTTCTGTCTACTAAAATGTTTTTGTAATACATATTTTAATCCTCAGTTACACAAGTTTTGTTGCTTATCTTTTAGCCATGGCTTTTGTATTCAGAGCTGGACTAAGAAAGAAACTGCACAATGACTAGAAACTCCTAAAATAAATGATTGAAAACAAAGTTTTTAAAAAGGAAATAACTTTTAGACCTTTCATGTGAATGATGCAGAATATATAAGTTTCAGATCATTAGAAAACTAACTTTACTTAAAACACTTAGAATTGGGGGATTAAAAAGTCGAAAGATATTCACTAAATTTTAACTAAGAAATTAAATGCAACTGGTTTCCATAACTCATAAATTACACACACAAAAAAATGTAGATGAAAAAAAATAATTTCATGAGCAGAATGTAATTCTAAAAAAAAATATAAAAATATGTATCTTCTACAACAAAAATTTCCTTGATTTGGCATTACCAGTACTCTCACATTAAATTCATCAAGACAATAAAAGTTGAGGTTATTCTCACCAGTTTAATGAGGACAGATTAAACAAAAAGTTTCTGATTTGTCGAGGTAGTCATTAGATCCCTATACTACCAAGAGGTCACAGACAAGTTAACAGCATTGCACCAGACATGTTTTAACAACTACACAAATTGAATAATTTAAATTTGTATGGCACTTGATTGGGAAATATAAAATAAAGTAAAAAGTATTCAAAATAAACGAATAATAAACAAAATTACAGTAGTATCAGGGAATTACATACAATAAAAGCCAAGATAAACTTAATTCAAACAAAACCAATGACTATAAAATATTTGTATCATAACAAGAGGAAATAAACACTTGATATGAAAATATGCTAAATTAGCAGCTAATTTCAGAGTTGTTTTAAACTGAAATCAAAATAAAATGTTTTGAAATTATCTCAATTTCATTAATAAAAGTCACTGGGCTTATGACAGCATAACCTTCACAGTAAACTATTTGCAAATTTAAAGCTTGACTAGACCACTCCAGATGTTTCTGCCAAGTAGTAACAAAAGGGAAAAATAGAATTCACTTTTTTGTTTATATCCTATTACAAAGTCCTAGCTGATAGATCTAAGTATTGCATTGTAACAGCTGATGAAAGACAAGCAAATGATCACTGCAAATCTTGACCTTCTTTGATTAAAGGAACAGCGTGAGGCTTCATACTACTATCTGTAGAGCCTGGAGAAAAAATAATTGTTATTAATGGTAGTAGCAGGTAAATTCTTATTTTATGCCATAATCATTAACAGTATTTTCTAAAATCAGGTTTTTCTCAAATGGACCAGTTCTCAGCTAGCCAAACTTTAGGAAAAATGTATAAAGATCAACAAATAAATAATTTTTCGCCTCTGGAGACATCAGAATGAAAATAATGCTCCAGAAAATGAAAATTGAGACTAGTGAAACATGCCCTTTAGGAGTGTCACCAGAGAATGCTGATCAAAGTCTCAAAAGCTCAATATTTTATTGACAAGCACAAACAACATGCGGGCCTTAAAACACCATAAAGGAAGAAAAACAATGGAAGGCTGCCTGAACTGGAAGCCACTGTACAGTATCTCAGATACAAGACTAGCTATCTGAGCCATACAACATGAAGGTTTTTCTTGTCTGCATTTTATTTAATTGTGTGTATAATATATTAATTGTGACATAGCTCTATAATTAATGCACCACTATTGTCTTAAAAAAAAATACCAAACAAAAAAAAAAGTTAAATTTTGTTAAACCAAGCTTGTTGTTGAAACTAAATTTGACAGCACAATAAGACATACAAACTGTAGTTTCACACTAACAAGCTGTGGGATTCTAAAACCAGACAATAATATCTTATTCTAGAAGCTTAAAATTATATTTGCAGAATTTATTAGTCATTTTGAGAACCTTTGTTTCAAGATTTCAAAACGTAAAAAAAATAACCAAATAGTTTCCTTAAACTTATTGGATTTTCTTACTAGAAATTATAACCAAGCTCAAATCTATTTGAACTCCCAAACATAGATCTAAAAAAAATCTTTAAAAAAAAAAAAGTCTATCATAATCCTTGTTAAGCTCTTGATCGCGAAACATGTGATTTAATTTACAGTCTATAGGAAAAATTTTAAATGACTAAGTGTAGAAAAGGTGTACTGAAAATCTATGAAAACCTGGAAAGTAGCAACTTCAGAAGTCCTGCTATACATGGATATATTTTATAATCTACAACAGTGTCAAACATGTGAGATGACTAAGCCAAGATAAACAAAGTGACTCAAGACATGAACATAATGTCAGCAGAAAACTAAAATGAAAATCTTGGCTACATAGAACTAGTATTGGTATAAGTCAATAAAATTTAAATAAAAATAAAGACAGATAAGTAGATCTGAAAGAATTTGACAGATGTTTTAGGCATGGAAGAAAAGTTTTTGTTGAACAAGATGGTTAAGCAGACCAAAGTGCCTAGTAGGTTTTAGTGTTTTATCAATTAATGATTCATGGACTCACCTTTAAATCGCTTCAATGCCTGAGCTCTTTCTTCAGCATCATAGTACCACACAGTGATTGCATATCTGAGAAGCAGATTTCAACAGAAAATGCAGGATACAGAATTCCTCTTTATGGAGCCTTAATTACATAAAAAGTTGTCTAAACTGAGTCAGCGCTAATTAACTCAGGTATTTACCTTTCTCGAAAAGATTGTTCAACCTCATGTGGGTTCCTTCTGTCAGACCAGAAAAATAACAACCTATCAAATTTAGGTTCAATGCTGGCAACTCGATCAGAGCCTTCAGGATATATTCTCAACAGGCCACCGTGTTGCTGTAAAATTAACATTTTTAATGTAACTAACATTTATTTGCATTTTTTAAAAATAATCTTTATTTGGATAAAAAACTTAAACCAACTTCTGTTATGATCAGAGTTAGGAAAAACCTATTATTATCTTTTTTTCTTGAATCCCTAGCTTAGACATTTTTGTTAACAAATTTTTTAATATTTTGACTAGAACCAATTTTTTTCTTTTGCTCAACTTTAACTCATGAAACAAAAATAAAATAAAGTAGCATTAAGTGCATAGCGGCTTTAAACAAGAATCAGTATAAAAAGATTATCGACAATCATTCTTATACTTGGGTTTACAAAAGGCTTGTTAAGTATAATGCCCTATTTTTGTTTAGACAAATTGATTTATTCATTAATAACAAAATTTCAAACTCCATAAAACAAAAAATTGCTAAAGAATATCCTTAGCTAATAACGTTTTAACATTTCAAACCAATACATGTTTGTTACACTCATGTGAAGTAGTTTGTTAGTGTAACCCAATCACACTATGTTTTGTGTAACATACCCGCACATCCCAGTTTTCATTGAGGTAGTAAATACAAGTGATACATCTCCCATCTCCATTTGGATTGTCAACATGTCGGACATATCTGGTTTTTCTTCCAGGGTAGCAAGCTACCATTGCCTTTAGAAAAAGAAATTAAGTCGAGGGTGAAAAAGAATTTTCAATAGTGTTTTTACTATCTAAACATAAACACAAATACAATATTCATTTTCTGAATTGTACTAATGATAGTTTGCTCATTTATTGCTATAAGGTTTAAGTATGCTTCCTGATGAATACACTTTGAATATGTCTAGCACCAAAAAAGGACATGACAGTCTATTAAATTCATGTCTACATTCGGAAAACATGAAGACATTGATTTATTTACTGTATAGATCTTTATAACCTGCTATTCTATCAAGCTTATGAGCACGATCAGCGTGAATTCAAGATCTTTTTTAAAACTCTTTCAGTACAGCATTACTCTCAGCGAGTAACTTGAAATACAATATTTGTTTCACAGTCGTTATAATGTTAAACTTTTATTTCTCTCAATTTTTTATTTTGGGCATCAGAGTGATTTTTGTTTTGGATGTAAAATTGGATACGAAACCAAGACGTTTTTTTTTTAAAAGACAACATTGTGTTAGTGTTTCCGCTTTTTTAGTTTATATATTATAGAATATCTAGTAGATAATATTACAAATAAATGTACATAGACCCAAAATATTTAGATTATACAATATTTAGTGCATTTTGTCATCTTTTATTAAATTTAAACTGAAAATAATGTTTAGGTTTATGATTTTTCAATTATTATAGATTAAATGTATAATCATAAGGTTAAATCTTTCAATATATCTATTTTTTATTAATTTTTCATTCAAAATACTAGACACTGAAAGAGTTTAATACATTCTGAAGTAAGTTCTTAGTCCAAAAGCTTTGATGAATTGACAAGGGAATAAACCTAATTCAAAACCTTTTCCTTGTCTTAAAATAAAACTGCCTATCTTAAGCCAGAAAAGAAAAAAGATCTAGATCTTAAGTTCTAGAATAGCTCCAAGTACTTCATTTTGCGTTGATGGCATAATCATAGATTCTAAAGCATTTTCCTCACAAACAAAAT